AATTTCAAGTAACGACTTTGTCCATATGCGCTGACGCTGTTGTATTTTATATAATTAATTTCTTAAAATTCTGTTGTAGAAAACACATTTATAACATTAACTTGGTAAATGTTTGAATAAATGTTTTGCACGTCAGCGTTTGAAAAGTAAATAAATCAACAAATTTAACAAAATATTTCAGTAATTTTGTTAAACATCGACGACAAATGAACAATTGAAAATGCTGTAAAGTAATGCACTTCAGTGTAACACAGGGTTAGATACCTAAAGATCTATAGAAATTAACACCAACGCGTGAGATTCATAAATGCCAATGTAATGTAATGCAAGGTATGGCAAATACATGTTAACAAAAAGCTAAAATACGAATATCCTTATTTTCGTCAATAAGAAGTTTACAGCTTGCGAGTACTATTAGTGTCATTGGCATGAAGCGTTTTCCAAACTGCCCTCATTTTATTTGGGTCTTTAAAACCATGTGAAGCAAACATACTCGATCGGTTGCTCCGCTTAAAGTTAGCAAACGATATTCTATTACCAAAGTGATTATTATGAGTTGGACGAATATTGAGTTTCTTGGCAACAATTCCTAAATAACTATCGTCTATTCCTAGGTACTTCACATACGGAAATGCTATTTGAAACTTCCGTGCTACTGAGAACGATACCAAGTAAGCTCCTCCGGCTAAATAAGGCGGCCACCAGTCAAATCCATAGTCTTCCCACGACACGAACCATTTCGACTTGATATCCCGGAAAGGTTGAGAATGTGGGAGGAGATAGCCAGAAAGCAAACTGACTGAGTTCGCATCACGGAAGCTCAGAAGATAATTGTATATGGTAGACAAAATAGCATAATGATCATCATCGACAAAAAAGAAGAATGACGCGCTTGGACAATACGTCACTCCCCAATTAAATCCCATGATTGTTTTGTAAGTATTATTTTTATAAACATCAATGAAATCCTCCTGTATCACATCGGAGTATTTCTTACTTTCCTCATCAATCTGTGTCTGATGTGGTTGGTCCGTGCCGGCCAGCAAGAATACCACGCGGATGTTTGGTAGCGCGTCCTTTGCCCACGTGTCACGTATAGCCAAACGTAGTTCTTTGTTTTTAGCTGCCGATTTCACAAGTACTAACATATTAAGTGTGTCTCCAGATCCAGGAAATTTGCATTTTTCAGGTTTGTGTAAATATTGAAAATTATGGGGATTGATAGGCTGAATGTCAATCGGTGTATTATTAAGTATCTTTCTGTTTACAATATCAGCCAATTCTATATATAGAGGGTATCGAAACCGACTCATTGGCGGAACTTTTCTTCCTCGACGGTGTGAAGTCTTGTTTACAACGTTTGTATGTACCAATGGTTTATTTGTGATTTTTAATACTGTGTTATTTCTAGTTTTAATCACATTGGTAGAACGATTCGCCTTGTTGAATGATACTCGCATCATTTTGTTGTACGAACGTGACAAAGTCGAATCATGAAAGAAGGTTAACACGCTGAATATGGAAAAGAGGAGCAACAAGCACATGAATATATTCTTGAACCGTCGACAAATCCAAACGAGGTAGTGTTGGTTTTTCATCTTGAAAAATTCACGATGTCAGTTATTGGTGAGTGGAAGTCTGTTTAAGTATAATCAATGTTTTTTGCAAATGTCGTTTGCCAATCGATTTTACCTTGATACGTAAGTCAGTGACACCAGTGATAATATTTCTTCGTATTAAATTTGGTTTTGCTACAACTCAGATCCTTACTGTGTCTTGCAGAACCGTATAACATCGTATGTATATCTTTTATGAACAGTAAGGGAACCGAACTTAACGTAACTATGATGTAATGTTCCCAGTGTAGAGCTG